GACAAATTCTCTGTTAAACGATTGTAGCATATCTTGTTATATGTCTCATCTCATAGAACCATATCCCCGATTCGCCTCTCTTCGTCTCACTCTATCTTTGTTTATTTCGACAATCCTTAGATGGGAGTCCTCTCGAGAGGGTGTCCTTGAGCATAATCGTATACTCTACTGGTGAAAGGATTTTGCATGCTTCGATTCGGAACCAGTACAGGAAATCACTTACAGAGGAGGTATTATGCGGAACCCTTATCGAATTTTCCCTGAACAGACATCCAAGTTGTAAAAATGACGTCAAACTAATTCGACATACATACACGCTAAAAACTGAAAATAATAGAGTAACAAGAAGCCTCACCATTTTTACTACAAGGATATATACTCCTCAATCATCGAAAAGTGCCCCACAAGTATGAGGAGATTGAGAGCTGACTGCTTCATCTTGAAAGTCATCTTTCACGTATAATTTAACGGCTATCGAGTTTGTCTCAACCCATGCATCTTTGGTTCAAATCTCGCCAGGCTAGTACAATACGAAACTTTAATAGCCTGGATAAGACAGCCATTCTTGAAGGTAAGACCGAGTGAAGTTGAATGGTATCATAAGCCCTTGTATCTATATTTTTGGATAATATTCAACACTCTGTCCGTACATCCTTATAGACGATCCATGGTGGCTCGGGATATTCTTTTAACTCTAACGATCATTTAGAAACCTAGTCAGAAACTTAACTTCCGGACTTCCATCCACCAAATGAACTTAATTATTCTAAAATTTCCCAAGAGTACTCATCCAATTACAAGGCTATCTTCATAGGTAAAGAGTGATTGTATGAAAATAGAGTTTCGAGACTACCAGTAAATCAGTTATGTAAGATGTATTCACTCTATTTCGTTTAAGGTGATAAAGGACTGGTAGTCGAATTCTCCCACAATGTTATAAGTAGAGCTGACTTTTCCATTGAATTTTACAGAGCCTCGCTTTTCCAAAAGTTGTTTTCATCCAGTTGTTTTTATGGCAAATATATATTTGCTTCATCGACAATCCCACCAAATAATGTGATATGAAAAACGCCTGGCCTCCCTTGAAATTCACATCTTTCCTGTGACCCAAGGGCACTCGTGGCAATGTGGCCGAGTGGTTAACGTGTCAAGCTTACATTCTGCACTGTCACGGTTCGATTCTCGCTAAGGGTGTTGATAAGACCGATGCGAGGTCGAAACTGCAGTCAACCCTGTATGACAACAACTTTTGGGAAGGCAAGGCTATGTGAAATTTACTGAAAACGTCAGTTCTACTCATATCATTTTGGAAAAATTCTACTACCAGTCCTTTATCACCTTAAACAAAATGCGGTGAATACATCTGATAAAGGGTGATTGTGTTGCTTGTTTACAGTAACTAAAATAATGAAGGACACAACAAATTTGCATAAATGACGAATGTAGAAAGTCGCTTAAGGCAGAAATGCAACCAAGCTTGACGGAATGGGATGAAGCCAAAGTGAAACCTTGCAAGCAGTGTTATTGCCGCAATCGCTTGCAGAATTGTTTGTCAAGGACCAGCAGTTGTTGGATTAGTAGTTGTTGGATTAGTAGTTGTTGGATTAGTAGTTGTTGGATTAGTAGTTGTTGGATTAGTAGTTGTAACAGTAGTGGATGTGGTACAAGTGGTTGTAAGATGGTAGTAATTGCAATGTTATTAGTAATTGTAGTAGTTATTATAGTAATTATACCAATATTAGTATTATTATAAGTGGTATCAGTATCAGTGATTAAGGTAGTAAAATTAGTAACATGAAATTAGTAAAAAATAACCTGGCAAATTGTGACAAGTAGTACTAACAAGCAGTATGAGTTAAGAGGAGAACCAATAGTTGTTGTAATAGCAATTGCTGTTACTACTACTAATAGTATTGGTAGTAGTGATGTTGGTGGCAGTGGTTGTATTAGTAGCAGTTATCGTGATATCAATAGCAGTCTAAAGAGTAAAATCGGTAACATGAAATTATCCTCATATTTCGTTTTAGTAGCAAGTGGTACTAACAAACGGTAGTAGTAAGAAGGGAAACCAATAGTTGTAATAATAGCAATAGCAACTAGAATAACAGTGGATGTACTGAAAAGGAGCCTAATAAGTAAAAGAAACAATGAAATTAAACATTCTAAATAAACCTGTCAAGTATTTAGTTATCGAGTCACAGACTTGAGCTCATTTTTGTGATGAAAAAGTGATTTGGTGAGGGCATTTCTGAAATTGCAATCGACCTGAGGTCTGAAGAGCCTAGACGATGTTCGGAGTATGGACGCAATTTTTAATCTTGCTGAGCTCAGGGTAAAAGTACACCCCATCTTATCTTGCACAGCCCAAGGGGCACTCAAGCAAAAATGAAATATCTCTCAAG